CCTTGTATCCACCACTGCGCTCCTCATTCTTTCATCCACAGTTATGAAATCTATCATGCTTCTATCATCACCTCTTTCCCAAGTATACATGTGAATCTTCTTATGACGAAAGAAAGTGTTCGTCACAAAAAGATTCCTTTTCACACATACGGTGAGGAGGCTTTCACCATTCTCATTTATGCTTTCATCACCAAACGTTCCCAATATCCTTTCATAACCAAGCCTCATCACCCCAACCCTTCCATTAAAATCTCCTAGCATAATAATCTTTCCATTTCCCCTACACTTCATTAACACCATCCTTACCATTTCCCAAAACTGCTCCCGGATATAAGTGGGCTTAGACATGTCTGGGGCGTAGACCCCTAACACAAACAACTTCTTTAAGCCCACTTTCATTCGTATCCATAGCAGTCTTGGGCTTACACATTCATACTCTTTCACACATTGGCCCATTCTTTCTGAAAGGATGATACCTACTCCCTGGCATGCCCGCTCGATCTCGTCTACACCAGACCAGTATGCGGTATACATGCCATGTGCAGTGACATCCTTCCCCTTCCTCTTCGTCTCATTTACACATAATACATCTATTCCTCTATCATACATCATATCGCATACTTCATCCATTTTATCATTCATTGCCCCAAATACATTCAACGTAGCCAGACGGGCCTCTGCAATCCACTTTTCGCCTCTCTGGAGAGACAGAACGTGACGGGTGGTTTTCCTCCCGGAGATTCTTCGCACCCCTGCCCCATTAAAGGGGCGCCGGAAACTCGGGGCCATTTCCTTTCTTTTTTGCCTCATGGTACGAAAACTAGGGTGCGGCATATTTTACGCCGCTACCACACGGCGAGTAGCCGAGTCTGTTCTTTCGGCTTTGTCGCTCTTTTAGCACCACCCGGGGAAAACGTGTAAGGTGGGCCTAGGATTAGGTTGTCGAAGCCTACGGACGCGAGCGACTTATCCCCCTTACTTATCGTTTTATTAACTTACTTTATATTCCCCTTTTGAGTGTTTTACTGCATCCATCTATCACAAGTGAACTCATGGTTCTAGCACTAGTGTCATCCAACAAGACTATACCTCGATCTAACGGAAGTTCTAAGTTTTCTGGCGTTTCCCCTTGTTGCTTTTTACGACGGGACGACATGGAGTGATGGACTTCCTTTGTCGCTATGATATAGCATAATAACTAATGGTTACTGGTACTGAATAGTACCAGTAGCTAAATTTTTGGTTGTCAGCAGCGGTTTGATTCCCGCACAGAGCAAATATTTTGTAGGGCTTGCTTCTTACTGAAACCTTTACAGTATGTTGTATGTTATTCTGCTGGACACGGGTCTTTTCTTATTTCTTATAGGCTACTGAAACTAAAATTAACGGAAATAAAAGGGATAAATATAGTTTAAATAAATTTCAAAACGTAAGTGGTTTTACTGTGACGAAAACATTTAACTATCTCGTAGAATCATTATTAAGTTAGTAGTATTAATTCTTCTGAGGTCAGCTTAACTTTATAAAGGACATGGTGACTTAGATTCTACCTCAACCTTTAGCTGGAAACTTCTAACTGGAACTTTGGTACTTACTTTGGTATTACTGATCTGAACTATAATTACCTTTTATTATATACCGACTTGAATATAAAATTACGAAAAAAATAACACTATTATGACTAGTAATTTTAGAAATGACTAGCTCCATCTATAGCAGTTAATTAATGAAGTTTATGGTTCGGTTTGTAGGTGGCGCAGCACAGATTTATGTTATGTTGGTGTCGAACTGGTTCTAGAAGTTGCCAACAGATGACGTGGACCAAATATTAAGTATTCCTTTTTACAATTAATTTTTATTCCAATAAAAAGAAGATCAATGAATGAATTCAGTATAATAAATAATAATATTTTGTTGTTAACTTTACGTAGGTATAATTTTATCTTGTAATAACGATCCGCTCCGGCTTCGCACGGGTGATTTCTGGATCTCGACAACAGCGCCACCTATTGGGTTCAAACGTGAATGTAAACAATTTAGTGACCCATTCAAACACAAAAAAAAATCATCAAAATCGATGTTTTTTTTGTTAAAGATGAGTTAGTCTATTAAAGAGAGACGGATCTATGTAGTATTTATTAAAATAAAGCTACAGCTAGCTGCGTTCATGCCATAGCGACAAACGAGTTTATACTTCATTCAATAGAAAGTGGCAACTCCAGCCCATGGTTTGGGTTAAAATCATTTTATAAATTGATGGTTTGTATGTAAGATTTTATTTATTGCGCCTGTTCTATTTTTGACACTGCATCCTATGCTTGAACAGTTCTGGCACTATGATATCGCCTCCGCGGCGCGCAGACCCGCGTGGGTAGTTGACATTATGCCGATTATTAGAATTACCGTGGTCTAAAAGTGGCCAGGAGTACATCATCAATCTTTTCATATTCCTGTCTAATTATTTTTCTGTGTCCAATTTTACTATTACCTTGAGTATATTGGTAGCAGGTAAATAGAATTCGAGAAAAACGCAGCTTTGGTTCTATCTTTTATTTGTCACTTTCCTTCATTTTGTACAACATTAATACATTTCACGGAGAAATCAAATATACAAAAAAGTTTCACCATCAACAGTCGTTGGTAATACATTTCATAACACTTTTGATAAATTTTCAATTACTATGCATGCATGTACCTACATTTAATTACTTACACACATAAATATATTTGATTTTTTGTTTATATAATATAGTCCACTGAATATTTTTCGTAGAGTATTTCATACTATTTACACTAACATCGAATTTTATTAATCTTATAATATTAAATATTACAATCCTCACTATAGTCAATTAAAAAACCTAATTAAGTACATTTTAAAATAATATTGTTGAAATGCATTAAAACAAACAACGGCATACGGCATTTGAACGAAAAAAAAATTTTTTTCACTGAAACGCATCAAAGGACAATACCACTAAACGAAAATAATGTACCTAGGTCCAGTACATATATTTCACTTTTTTTAAATTGACGACTTGTATATCGATAATTTATAAATAAAAATATTAAATACTAATTTTATTATAAATAGTCAATGAGTATTCCTTGTTACTCTCAGTTTCTCGCATACTGTATATAATACTGTAAGTATAAAATTAATAGAACAGCTTATGCTACTGTAGTTTTTTTAGTTTTATAATGTTGTATTTATTGATCCTTTTTTACTGGTAACGAGCCCTCACTCAACTAACAGTCCTCAGGGGTGACAACTCATCTACAATATGTAACGTAATTAACGCACACCCTCAGACACCCCAATTAGTATATCACGTTATAATCATAATACATACACTAAATTTTTAGTTAAACATTTTTATGCACTGATTATCAAATTAGTTATACTAATTCCGGAAGAATGTTGTGGTCACAGTACAAATCCACGAACGCAAAGACTTTAACGTGCTTGTAATAAAGTTCATTTTTCTTTATTTATATTGAATGACAGAATTAGTAATAATACAAATAAAACTGCACTCTTAAAAGTCTTATTGCCTTAAGTTACGGTCCATTTCAGTTTGTTTTTGACTGTACAGATTTAGTGTGACTGTAATTTACGTAGTTTTAATTATTTTAGGGATAACAAATTACCTATATTAAAAATGATAGGAATCGTTTCAGTAAACGATTCTGAACAAACTACTTCCAGGATGTGCGTTAATTATGTTACATGTTGTATATTTGATTTTAAATCCAGGAAAGATGTAGCAAAGCATATACTACTTATATTATATATAGATAACCAAAGCATCCACTTACGATACGGTAGATTGTGTGCTCGTTGGTCACACCCGTAGACTATAAAAAATTATATCAACGGTGAAGTACTAATAGGTCTTATCTACCAGACTGGAAATATTACAAGTAAAAAAAAAAGAAATTTTCGACAAGATATTTTTCAAATTTTTCAAGAAGAGATTTGTTCTTTGCGACCTTTCAACCAATGGTGATTTATAAAGCGGGAGAGAAAAAAGAGAAAAATAGGACTTGAAATACAGATAAAAAATATCTATGAGTAAATTTCTTACAAATAATTCCAATGATATGAAAAACACTTATTACAATAAAATAATATTATTATAGGTCTATACGTACATCGAACTTTGGTTCTATAACAGTTATTTACAAGATAATAATATATTATGCGTGGCAAAAGCCGAAACAAACCAAAAATATTATATACAAAAAATGCAAATACTTTGTAATAAATGATTTGGTTTTAATAATATAAATAATTATATAAAATACTATTCCTAAAATTCATGTGCCGTTGATATTTTTTGGTAATATCGACTTCATCGCCTTTCATTTCGACAAATTCGGAACACTTCTACTGGTCGAATATTATTTTGATACAATGCTTAATTCTAACCTTTATGTAGCTACCTAGTTTAACTTTTATGTTTTATTTCATTATAAATATGTGCTTATATTGTTAAGGTGGGACAAGTTCTGATTAGTTTTTATTTTATATTTGTCTAAATTAATAATCTCCTGAAATTGACATTATAATAATGAGAGCCATTTTTTTCCGGACAAATGTATCATTCTATTCTTAAAACATTAAAGGTTATTATGCCAAATATCGAGTTTCGTCTTAAGATGAAAAAAAAATCTCACATTTTTACTCTCTCTTTGGCATTTCAAGTAAACATTACTTGCAAAATGACAATCTCAAAATAAGCTTACTTATTAATATTTACATTTTGATTACTCGATATTTTTATATAACACGAGTAAAGGCGTTTTATACCATAACGTTCCTTTCATTCGGACTAAAAATTTACACTCACCACGTTTTCAATTGCGGGTTTCTTTCCAAAAGCATTCCCTCCAACCACTCAACATATTGAAGCGTATCTTTGAAGAAAGATACGGCGAAAACACTTTCGATATCCCAACGGAGTTCCTAAGACCAAACTCCTCGCATGCTGAATCCGTTATTTGATGAACGGAAATTCACTGTCACTTTCGTCCCCGGAGCCGTCGTAGCTTGACGGTGGGGTGTCGAGTTGTGGTAGACCCAGGTCCAAGTATTCTTGATTCGCGGTCACGGTCAATATTTTGTCCAAATCTTCGACGAGCTCTGTGAAGGACGGTCTGTCGCCAGGTGAGAAGGACCAACATTCGCGCATCAGCATATAGCTAGAAAGATTTTTTTATATTAGTCTGCGAATTTATAGTCAACGTAATATTCATATTAGATCACTTAGTGTTTTTAATTTATTTTAATACCTTGAGGTAGACATACATTTTCAGGCTCAGACTACCTAGGTACTATGCAAGTCTGGTTCAAGTCCCAGGTGAAGTCCCGTATATAATTATTATACTCTGTAATGAGGCCAGTTGTTATTTTGTCCTCGTATGTCTGTTACATCCACAGAAATCGTAATATTGTCTTATTATTAGAGACGGGCCGAATATTCGTTTTATATTCGGTATTCGGCATATTCGACAGCTTTACCGAATATTTGTATTCGGCCGAATATTCGACTAAATTACCGAACATTCCTTAATGTGGTACTCAAAGTGTTCACTGTATTGAAATGTACGAATTGAGTAATGCCATGCCATTTTATGATTTTACCGTTGAAAGTATATTTTATTAATGGGTTTACTGTAGATTTATTTCCAATTATACTAAATAGAAAGTTTGATAAAACTTTTTTGAAATCAAACAAAGAAACATTACATTACATTAGTGCATTTCACTTTATTTTGGTCCTCAGTTTCTCTAAAATAAGTCCAAATGATAGATCTGCCACTTATTTTTTTCGTATTATAATTATCAATTTTCAATAACAATAACACAACGAAATACTTTTTATCTCACAATAATAGTCAAAACATAAGCATGAGCCGGCAATTTTCTCAGTACATCATGCAATAACATGTCAGGTGTGGCGGGGGAGCGAGGTGCTAATCTAATCCCGCGCGCTTTACGGTATCAAGTTTCAACATAAATTGGTTAGGGACCGGGGTGATCCTGCCGAATAATGTTCGGCCGAATATTCGGCTCGGTAAAAGTTTTAACGAACTTTCGGCCGAATATTCTTATTCGGTGAAATCCATGTTCGGCCCGTCTCTACTTATTGTTATGATTTCTGTGGTTACATCATTCTAGCTACACATATATTTATATACACATAATACACATATGCAAACATTACATCGGATAAGGGTAGTTTTGGACATGTGAAGGCTCTGTGTACTCACACGTGTGATTTCAAAATATCCTGCACAATTGATCACCATGATAACTTCCGACTATTCAGAGGGAATCGGCAAAATTCATAAGTAATAAAAATACTTTTTGTTTAATAAAGTCTATAGAAAATTTTAATAAAGTCTTTATTAGGAAATCGCTCTGCAATTAAGAGTTGAATGAAAATGATTGGGTGACGATACTATCATTATTTCCCGGGATATACCTACTAACGTACAAAACGTTATAAATATTAATGTACACCCAGCCAGTAGAATTGGAATGTATGGACCACAAAACCTAGAAATATCTACAAATATGGACTTCTAAAAAAATCCGACCCAAACGGATAATTTCCACATGGGAAGTTAAACATACATAGTATTTAAAATAGAATACTCTTCAAATACAGACTGCATTAATTGGTGCAGCAAATAACTACAGTTTCTAATTTAATGACCATGTAGTGGCGGTGTAGGAATATCCACTACACCATATCATCCCGTGGGAGTCGTAAGAGGCGACGAAGGGACACAGATCGGGAGATGGGCAACAGCACTTTCTTAATAATGAATAAAAATATAGAACTGCGGTTGCCAACTCGCTTGCCAAGCGTGGCAACTATGGCAAATTTCCCCTCTATCTGGAAACAAATAGGTGAGGTCTATGGAGGCAGTGGACTTTAATAGGCTATAACGTTAACGGTAATTTTATAACAATAATATACTAACATTTCAAGACTGCAGCACGGCGGTTTTTCCATCCGATGTCCAGCGCTTAAGTGCTGGTACATATATTGTCCTGGTACCGTCGGGTACGGTGTCCCGCCGAGGGTCATAATTTCCCACAAGAGAACTCCAAACGACCAGCTGCAAGGAATTTTAATAGTAAGTCTATATTGCAAAGTACAAATTATAAATGAAAAAGTTAGCATTACTGAAAAGCTCAGAGGAAGTTTTCTTCCGAGTTTTTTATATTTTGTTTCAAACTAAATCATTCGGGATTCAGTCGGTATTCGACTCATTCACAATTTACCCCAATCACAAGTTAAAAAGGATCCGTCAATTGTTTGTTATTGATTAAGAATGAATATCGGAACATTTAAAAACAGAAGAATGAATCACTCTTCTGTTTTTACTTTTAAGTGTACCGGTTCAAAGAAACGAATCATTCACGATTGACACATGTCTATTTCTAACCTAATGAATAGGAAATAACAGTCGACGGGGTTTTTGTTTTGGTAAGTACAGTTTAGAATCTATTTTGTAGCGTTTTATTTTGCTTAATCAGTAAATGTTATATTATTTCTATTTGGTAAAAAACTTACACATCAGTCTGCGTTGTGAAGACCTTGTGGTACAAAGACTCAGGCGCCATCCACCGCACAGGCAGGCGACCTTCGGTTTTCTTTCTGTAGTAGTCATTACTGTGGACATCCTTCGCCAAACCGAAGTCCGCGATCTTTAGAACGCAGTCGTCGGAAACCAGGACGTTACGCGCCGCTAAGTCTCTGTGGATACACTGGAAAGGATACAGGGACATTATATATGTAATCAACATCCTGTGTGTTAGTTGAAACTAATTAAAACATTTTTAAACCTATAAAAGTAAGTTGCGCCTAAAGAATTAACAGTCCTTAGCTGAAATAATAAGTAATCGAATTTGAAATTATTGCAAAATATTATCGTTACTTCAGAAATTCATATAATTGATTTTGTCTATAGCATTGGGTGACAAACGAGCACACAGTTCACCTGAAGGTAAGTGTATGCTAAATATTTACCCTCAATTAAGAATCAAAATGCAAAAGCGTTGACATCCCTGAAGACTAAGATGGAACGCCTAGATTCCAATAAAAAGGGTATCGGGTTCTCTACACTCACCATACGAAACACAGCAGCGTTACGCTGCTGTTTTGATCTGGTAAAGAACGTGATCCTGACCCGGTCGAGCCGACCCTGACGTGCTACAACCATAATATAGCTGCAGCGTGGCTCTACTCCGCAATAATACATGTTGAACAAAGGGGAAAGATTATGGACAGATTATGTGGTCCTAATGGAATGTTATCGTGTGGTGACGGCGTATTAGAACCAATATCCCCATTTCGTACCGTTGGTGTCGTAAAAGTCGACTAAGAGTTGTAGAGTCAACAAATGGATATGTGTCAAGAAGATCTTGGCCAGGCGTAAAATATGTAACCGGTTGTGGAGATCACCGTCCAAGTTGTAAGACGTCTGGCACTGCGATCGGCTTACGTGAATACTCTCTAATATGGATGAGACCAACGTTAAGCAATGGACTTTCATGGACTGATGATCCAGAATAAGAAGGGTATGTAATTAGCGACTAGTTCTCAATACATTACTGACCGCCTCGCGGAAACCCATTCTAATTAATTATTAAACGAAGCTGGTATATTATTAGTATGTTCAACGGTCATCAATACGTCAGTCAGGCGGATTGTATGAGTGTGAGCAAATTTCGTGGTCCATCAATCAAGTATTTCTTTACTTGTTGATCCTCAAAATTTAGAATACTTAGTAATTAATAGATATAGACTTAAAATGTTTAGAATATCTAAATTGTTCTTACCCGCCTAGAAGCTAAATACTCCATTCCTCTTGCGACTTGGTAAGAGAAGGATACCAAGTCCTTTTGTGTTAGGGTTTTCTTTTCTTTTAAATCCTCTGTTGGTGATTCGTATCTGAAATATCCCATTATTTCTTGTGTTAATTGATGTTAGTCAGTTTCAATTTTGGTATTACAGACCTAATATAAGATCTAAAAAGTAACACGTAGCTGTAAATACAGCTGTAGCTACATTTCTATCTACCTGTTTCCTGGACGATGATTTCTAAGAAACTCTCTTAAATTTCCATTCGGAGCGTATTCCACAATAACGTATAATGGTCCATCTTGCGTACAACATCCCAGTAAGTTTATTATATTCACATGCTTGCCAATCATCTTCATCATCTCCATTTCCGATACTAACGCCATCATTTCTGCGTCTGTGTGGCCCTCTGCAACCAATATCACAATTGCAGAAAACAAATTTTAAATTAGAAATTACAATTCGGTTCTTCTACAATCTGTTTTCTGAATCTACGTTATTAAGCGATATGAAATTAAACTGCACTCAAATGAATATAATGATATATTACATATTTTATATGTCCTTTTCTTCGTCAAATATTATTAATGGAAAAGATGTTGGCATATTAAAAAACACGGACTTTACCACATATTACTAGAATACTTGCAAAAGAACATAAGTTTTGGAAAATAGTTAAATATCGTATGTATCGTTTTGTCGTAACTTTGATACATTCAATAAACATTCAACTAATTTTACGACATAAACACAAATTATATTCGCAACTCAAACTAGAAATAACGAAAATTACAACTATAAGATTTTGAAAAATAACTATAAGTATAATAAGTTAATGAGACAACAAACTTTTATAAGGTATGAGTTCACATTAGCAGCACGAAACTAGTTTTAACAAGCAAGTGTTGCTATTTCCATAAGACATGCGTTTAACAAAATGCTTATAAATCGATGGTTGGTTGAATTTCCGGCATAAGCCCCTAACTTTCGTGAGGGGATTTAGCATAGCAGCGCGTTTAGCACACATTCGGTAAACACTGTCGCCGAGTTTCTTTTCCCGAGTCGTTTTTTTAGAAGTTAGTTTATTTGTTGTTTTTTTTTAGAATAGGGTGACAAACAAGCACACAGTCTACCTGATGGAAAGCGAATACTGTGACCAATAGACATCTATATTTATCCTCGATTAAGAATCAAAACGCAGATGCGTTGTCACCCCTGAGGGCTAAGAAGGAATGCCTCATTTCCAGTAAAAAGGGTTTCCGGTTCTCTATACTAATCATGCGGAACACAGCAGCATTGTGCTGTTATGTTACGCTGTTAGTCTGTGAGAGCGTGGTCCTACCCCGGCCGTGCCGACCCATTGGTGCTACAACTAGTTGCATCTGGCTCTACTGATTACTGGCTAAACTCATTGCACCGTGGCTCTACCACGTTTAACGTTTTCACACGAGCGTCAACCACGTCGAATAGGTTTGCGTGTAAAAAACATGCGAGTATCATAACAAATTTAGTTCATAAGTATTATATATATCGTACTAGCTGTTACCCGCTCGCTTCGCACGTAAATATTTTATTACGGAACCTAGATGTAAAATATCAAGAAAAAAAATGTTTGATGAGACTGTCGTAAAATCCGTTTCACGCGACATTGCGAAACGCACTAAATTTCAAGTTAAATCGGGTGTATAGTTTTAGAGGTTTTAGGTGTATAGCAGTAAGTGAGTCAGCAGTATATACATATATAAATGGTATATAACGTTCGCAAGCATAGTTTTAAAAAACATTTCTATGTGTACCCTAATGTAATATTTACTTGCCTGTTTAGCACAAACACAACTATTTAAATAAATTATAATATAAAAAAAATCAATACAAAATTAAATCTAAAATTACCTTTCAACATCTTGACAGCTACGACAGACTGCACTCCGGGTTTCACAATCCCGACACATTCAGCTTTGACGACCTTTCCAAATTCACCCTCTCCTAGCACTTTACCCAATGAAAGCGATTCCCTGGGGACTTCCCAGTCTATATCCATGGGCAGTTCGTATTCTGACATCATCATTGAATCGCTGGTGTTGCTTTGTACTTGAGATAACTTTTGTTTTTCTATCTTCACTACTGGCATTAACTGAAAAAATATATATTTAATTTTTTCTGTGTAGTATATAAATAGCGCCCATGCGTTATATCGCTGAGCATAAACCTCATTACAGGTGAAGAAAGCTTTGGAAATTCACAAAATTGTGGTATATAACGTAATTCAAAATAACTATATAATTAAGTCAGTAACTGGTGACACATTTTTGCGTATAATATGTACGTCTCTATAATAATCATTCATCATTCATCATTACAGCCCTTCACAAGTCCACTGCTGAACATAGGCCTCCCCCAAGCAATGCCACAAAGCACAGTCCTGAGACACCTGCATGCATCGACTTCCTGAATGTCTTACCAGGTCGTCACTCCATCTAGTGTGGGGTCGCCCTACACTACGCCCACCGGTACGAGGCTGCCTACTCTACTCGAGAACCTTTCTTCCCCATCGGTTATCGGTTCTTCGAGCTATATGGCCGGCCCATTGCCACTTCAGCTTACTAATCCGTGGGCTATGTCGGTCACTCTGGTTTTACTGCGGATATCCTCATTTATTAGTCTATCACGCAGAGAAACTCCGAGCATAGCCCTCTCCATAGCTCGCTGAGCGACCTTGAGCGTCCTCATACGGCCAACAGTGAAGGACCACGTCTTTGATCCGTAAGTCATCACTGGCAACACGCAATGGTTGTACACTTTAGTTTTCAGAGATTGAGTTATACCTGACCAGAAGATGTGTCGTAATTTCCCGAACGCTGCCCAGCCGAGTTGAATCCGTCGATTGACCTCTCGGTCGAAGTTGGAGTTACCCAGTCGGACTATTTGTCCCAGGTAAACGTAGTCGCCAACAACTTCGAGCATAGTGCTCCCAACAACTACCGGCATAGGTGTGACATGGACATTAAACATGATCTTTGTTTTGTCCATGTTCATCTTAAGACCTATCCGTTGGGAGATACCATTGAGGTCATTGAGCATAGTGCTAAGGTCCTTCAGGGATTTTGCCATAAGGACTATATCATCGGCAAATCGAAGTTGAGTGATGTACTCGCCATTGATGTTAATACCGTGTCCTTTCCAGTCCAGTAGCTTGAAAACGTCTTCCAACGCAGCGGTGAAGAGTTTCGGGGATATAACGTCACCCTGTCTTACACCTCTCTGCAGTTGGATAGGATTCGAACTCTGGTTCTAATCCTATCCAACTGCAACAGGGCTACGATGGAACTCGAATAGCCATCGTAGCCCTACTATATAAACACTTCAGCACTTCGATATACCGACAGTCAACTTGACACCGCTGAAGGGACTGTAGCACCGCCCAAATTTCGACGGAATCAAAGGCTTTCTCATAGTCCACATACGCCAGGCAAAGTGGCAGAATGTACGCAGGGTATGTATGTGGTGTATGGTACTGAAGCCTTTTCGGAAACCGGCTTGTTCGGGAGGCTGGAAGTTGTCGAGTCTGCATGCGAGACGATTCGTAATGACTCTCGAAAACAGCACGTAGTCGCGGCTCAGAAGGGAAATCGGTCTGTAGTTCTTCAAGAGAGCGTTGTCGCCTTTCTTAAAGAACAAGACCACCGCACTTCTGCTCCACGCATCCGGAGTAGTGCCACCATGGAGACGGAATTGAAGAGCTTCTGAAGGACTTCAAGTATCGGTGTTCCACCCGCTTTCAGAAGCTCCGCTGTAATTCCATCCTCGCCTGGGGCCCTGCCATTTTTAAGGTGCTGGAGAGCCATTCTAATCTCTGCTCAGACTGACGTCCGGGATATCATCGGAATAGTCGGGTAAGACTTGCTCTTGGATCGTTACTCACACTTGCGTGTGGCTCCAACGATGATGTGTACAGCTGCCCATAGAACCTCTCAATCTCACTCAAAATCTCAGGTGTCTCGGAAACGATGCTGCCACACTCAGTCTTCAGCCTTGACAGTTGGCTCTTTCTGGCAGACAGATCTCTGGCAAAGACTTTGGAGCCCTGGTTCCGCTCGATCGCTTCTTTAATACGAGCAGTATTAAAGTTGCGTAAGTCTCGCCGCATGCATTTGGAGATCTGTCTGTTCAGTTGCCTGTATGCTGTCAAATCTGTTGACGATTGCAGCCTCATCTCCCGTCTAACAGCCATGAGATTAAGAGTGTGATCGGAGAGTTTTTGTGTTCTTCTGCGGCGGGTCTTGCAGAACTTAGCTCCAACCGCATGGACAGTTTCCACGAGCTTGTCATTCATATCATCCACTGCATTGCAATCTTCTAGGCACTGAAAGCGGTTACGTAACTCGAGCTGAAAAGTCTCGGGATTCTGGATCAGAGCACGAGGGGGACGGAGCGTTGACTTCATTAGACGAGACCTCTCCAACTTAACGTTAAGGTTCAGTATGCCTCTAACCATTCGGTGATCGTCGCCGGTTTTCACCCTTGCGATCACTGAGACAGAGAGAACAGTTGGCGTCTGGTTGTCATAATGAAGTCAATATCATTTTTTGTCGAACCGTCGGAGCTCGACCAGGTCCACTTCCTGTGGGGCCTTCCTTGCGCTGAACTTATTATAGAGACTGTTAATGTTTAACTGATGAATTTCACTGTGGTGCAGTGGCTTAGCATAGCCTCGCGACGCTGAAGGCTGCTGATTCGAATCCCGCACCGAACAAGTTGTAGTACCATTATTTGTATGGCATACAAATAATTGTTTCGGTTCTGTATGTTTGCCCTGCTTCCACAATACAGGATAAAATCTTAATACGTTTTTTAAAATCTTTTGAGGTTGTTGTCTTGGTCGAAATCAGCCTTGGTGATATTAACATTTATTTTTGAAAAAAAAATCCAAATGTAAACTTAAACCCATGTTTAATTCGTAATATTTACGTCTTTAATATCAAATACCTTTTAATATTTAAATAGATTAAAAAATAAGTAAAGTGTACTCACCAAACCTTCACCTGTAGTAGCAGGGGATCCATTCATCTGGGGTTTCTCCACAGTCACCTTCTTAGTCCAGTGGGTCACTATGACCGCTCTCGCGGTCTCAATCGCAAGTTGTTTCTTTATCTTCTCCCGTTTGAGCTTTTTGAATATCATCACCACAATGAGTGCCGCTACAAGAAACATAGCTCCAAGTACTGCTGTTAATATGTTTATGAGCAAAGTGTGTTTCCCGTGATTAATGGGCTCCGGTGCAGGGAAAGCTACAAAAGAAAAATTAGATTGAATCTTTCGACGATTTTTTTTTAAAATTCGATTATGATCTTTTTAATAACACTAGTATTTTCTTCTATATTTTGAATCCATCGAATTCTTTATTAATAATGATTGTTTTTATGATTGACCACAATGTTTTATATCGTAATATTAGAGATGTAAAAATTAGGTGACTTCATGACTTTCTTTAGATCGGGCTAAAAATTAATATTCAAAAGCTTAAGGTAGCCGAGACAGCTTGATATCGATCGGGACGTCAAACACTTCAGTGCCCCGCGAAAATGGGTGCTGTTAAGCACTCGAAATGCCGGGAATATAAAATTTAAAATGAAACGCGATAAATCCGTAAAATTAGTTCCATTTAACTTCACTTGTTTTTTTTTTGGGTTTAAGTGGAATTGTTACGATATGTAGGTAATATACGTTTTCAAATTAAGGAAATTAAACGCGATAAAATCCCTAAAGTTAGTTCCATTTAACGTTTTTTTTTAAGGTTACAGCCTATATACGTCCCACAGCTGGGCACAGACCTCTCGCTCATTTCTGAGAGAGTTTTAGGGCAAGGAATTGTCCGCCGCGCTGTCCCAATGCGTGTTGGCGAACTTCACATGTCTGCGAATTTTTTTTTCTTATTTCTCAGACATGCATTCCTCACGATGTTTTCCTTCACCGCCGAGCACGTGGTAAATCAGGACTTAAAATTGAACTCGGTTTGCTCGCGTACTATTAAATTTACAGCGAGCACTAACCATCTGAGCTACCACGGCTTTTTTACTTTTTTATTTAAGTAGATTTGCCAATGACAATAATATGGTATTTATATCTTAGATGATATGCGTGTAATAATACCTTTTTAAATTAAGAAAAGACAGTTGCGCTATGGTAAAAAAATGGGTGACAGCGTTGCGGGGCTGTGGCATTGAGTTATACAACACTTTATTTGGTTATTACTGATCTAGTGTTATATAAATCAATGGGCTGTGGGCTTGAATACCGCACATATAACAATGGCGTAGGTAAAAATATAAATTTTATATATTTTAAATATATGAATTTTTAACAAACTCCCAAACTTAATAAAAAAATAGAAAAACACACTAGTTTTATAAATAAACTAAAGGAATTTTTAATTTGTAAACACTACTACACACTAAACGAATACCTAAATGATAAACTTTAAATGTCTACCTAGAATACCTATAGTTGCTATACTGTATAGTGTATTCATCATTATTGTTTCATTAAAATGGCCCTCCTCTCTCTTAATTGCCGTGCCCTGCAGGGTCCAAAATGATCTCATAGTTTTAAGTTAAAACTTAAAATGTTCTCAGCACTTTAACTGCAGAATTATGGATGTAAAAAACAATATGAATATGAATATAATATATTGTATTCTTTGACAAGGGTTTGTATGGCACTACAACAATTTTTTCAGATCTGAACAATTGTCTATATACAATTTATATATTCAAACTCCTTCTAGGCATAGGAAAAAATCCTAGTGTTGTGGGTAAAAAATATAAAAAATGATGAACTTACATTCTAAAACTGATAGATATCCTTTAGCAGTGGTGTTGCCCAAGGAGTTGACAGCGACACACACATACCAGCCTTCATCTTCTTTGGTCACATTGAATATTGTTAACTGTTCTGGCTTATCCGACGGATCTTCACTCTACACATTGATAATTACGTTTAATGGAATGACAAACATTTTAAAACACCTTCCACTAAGAACATACAGCTATTAGATTAGTAAGTGATAAAACTCACATGCAAATACGTAATAAATTAGTAAGCAACGATCTTATGTGGTACTTAGTACGTGGTAGAGCCACGCTGCAGCTATATTAGCGAATGGGTCGGCTCGACCGGGGAAGGACCATGCTTCCGCGATTCTGATTTTAAATTTTGTGTATGCTTATCAAGTTCATAAATTTTATCAGTTAAGAGTCCCTCGCAATTTAAGAATAAGTCATAAATAGCAAAAGTTAAACGCGTTTAACCGTCGTTTATAGAGGCATAGGCAAATATCAATCTAACTTGACATTTTCATGCGTGATAAATAACTGTCACTTATACAGGTTTTGTGTTTCTCACTTATAGAGGTTTTAGGAGGGCAAAATCACGGTACCTGGTAAGTACTCAGTTTTGACTGTATTTGCTTTTTTTTATAGAATAAGAGTGACAAACGAGCACATAGTCCACGTGATGGTAAGTGGATGCTGTGGCCCATAGACGTCTACATTTATCCTCGATTACGAATCTAAATGCAGATACGTTGTCACCCTTGAGAACTAAGACGAAATGCCTCGATTCCAGTAAAGTGGGTCTCCGGTTCTCTAAACTCACCAAACGATACAGCAGCATTAAGCTAGTATTTTACTATGGTAAAATAGTAGCTTAATGCTGCTATATTGGTGCTTGAAAATTTATGTATTTATTGTACTTTTCGTTTGTTTAGAATATTATTTAAATGTAAACATTTGTTTTAAAATTTTTGAAAAATCGTAATTATAACCAGCAAAACCCCTTCACTGTTACTATAATAGCATAATAATATAACAGCCTATCATAATAAGTCATAGGCCTCCCTATCCCTCATAGGTCACCTCGTGGGGATAATATTTGCCATAATTGCCACGCATGGCAGGCAATTTGGCTCCTGCAGCTTTTTTATTTTTAGTTGTTATTAGGAAGATGCTTCGGTGGTTTGGTCATGTAGAAAGAATGAATGAGAAAAGAGTGACGAAGCAAATTTATATGGCAGATGTGAATGGCAGAGTCGGGAAGGGACGCCTTAGAAAAAAGTTTATCGACCAAATTGGCGATATTTTGAAAATGGGCCACGTTAGAAGTACCCTTAACCGACGAGCATGTATGCGTAGATATATGGATGTAAAGGAGGCGAAAGAGGTATGTCAGGATCGTGCCAAATGGAAGGCCGTAGTCTCTGCCTACCCCTCTGGGTGACAGGCGTGAGTGTTTATGTATGTATTTATGTTGTTATTAGGAAGATGTTGCTGCATCTCCTGATTTGTCTCCATCTGTCGCCTCTTGACATCCACAGGACAATGTGGGGTTAGTGGATATTTTCACAATGCCACTTCACGATCAATAAGTATAATAGTAAAAGTTTGCAGTCCAAAGGGGGGGGGGGGGGATCTACAAACATTTTCTAAGTAAATATAAAAAATACGCATAAATATAATAATGTCCTCCAGATCGAATTTTGGCCACGGCGACCTGCCTCAACAGAGACTAGCCATCGGCGCAGGACAGGATTATAGTGCCCAAATGTATGCGCAAGCACAGGTGCACTCTCTATTCCCTCACTCTCGTAATCAGATGGGACGGTAAACCGGCACGACCGGGAGAGAGATCAGGCGCAGGACCAACGGCTTTACATGTTTTCCGAGGCACGGGGGTGAGACACCGCGAACTTCCTGACTCCGGGCAGCTACTGAGAATTTCTTGACAGAAAAACTCAATAATTGATTTTTGGCCCGACCCGGGATTCGAACCCAGTACCTCATGATCAGCAGTCGCACTACTACAACCACTAGACCAACGAGGCAGTCATAAATATACTATAGTCATAAATATAATACATAAATATAATTAATTATTTTCGTGCATTTACAAAAAAGCGTACGTGCACGCAAATCAGCAACCCACACACATGCGTTAGTCACTCGCCCTCACCGTCATAAGTTTAGTGATATCGTAGTACACAACTGACTCCTGAGCCGCACCGTCATTGGTGTCAATGGTGATGTTATAATTGTACTCGTCATTGGTGAAAAACATCCAGAAAACGTACGGATGTAGGTCTGAGAGGAATTTGCAGCTGAATTTCGCTGTCTCCCCGACCAACTTGGTCTGGTTGACTACGCCTTGTGTAAGCACTGGTTTCGCGTATAAACGCTCTATAAAGAAAAACAATTCTATTTTTATCAAGTATGCTTTCCTACCGTTATAAAAGCTTTCGTTGACAAACGATAGTTATTAAGGTACTGGTAAAGTTAAGCTTTGTATAATTATCATTTGGTGTAATGCAGTTCTGCTTATTTTGTTGTTTTATGAAAATCTGTAGTAGATAAATTTTATTCAAATAGAATTTTTACAATAACTTGTTCATATAAATAATTTAGATATTATTTACTTTAGATATCGGATTAAATGTGAGGGTACTTCAATCCCAAATTGTAGATTCTACAAAACGGTAAGTACTCACAAAATTCAATTTGAATTGTATTCCCGTCCTTCATTGTAAGTAAATATGCTACACGAACAATAAGATAAACACTTCTTTCCGTATCATCAAAATATGTCCTAAATGAGTAAGTGATATTAACTATAGCAATATATTATGATAATTCAAGCGATGAAATTCTTTAATTGTTTTATTATACTCGTATATGACATTTTACGTTTAATTATTGTTTTCCCTCCACCACCACCAATATGACATATTATATTTACCAAACTATTTTAGTTTAATACAGTTAAACTTAAAATTTATTAACATATAACACAGTAACCTTCACCATGACTCATCTTACAATTTATTATAACCTAGTTTGTGCTACAATTTTTTTAAAGTGACACTGTAATTTATAAAGCACGTATTATTTAATTTTGTATAGAGCTTTATCAAATAATTTGTTATATCCAAGATTTCAGTATCATTTCTAACCAAAGCTATAAAGTTAATCGACCTTCACCAAAATTTTAAAATCAAAGACCTCAATAATGTCTCCGGCTGGAATAGGCGCATCGCTCGGCCCAACTTCGGCGTCTATTAGCGAATAATTCGACGGTCTTATCCAATAGGAATAAGGTTCTAAATCGGATACAGGTGGACAGGACAGTTTCACTGTGTCGTTCACGAGAACCGTTACGTTTCCCGGATATCCTTCCTTAATATATGGCTTCGATGGGTACCGTTCTAGACAAATTTAGCACAGGTTTAATACGAATTAATTTAATACGTTGATTGGCAAAAAGTTGGCCAAAACTAATTCAAAATATTTTGCTTAGATTCATTATTTAATTATGACTATATGATACAGATTTGAAATGATTCTTAATGCTGTAATGAATTATTTAATAACATTAGGCTTTTATGCACTTAAAATAATCCTTAATGCTATAAACCTTTTTGCTATAGTGCGTGAGGCTAATATGGTCATTCGATAGATATGGTCACTTTCTTATAACTATAAACCTACAGCCTTGTATGCATGGATGACTCTGTGATACGATAGCTCTTTATCAGTCAATCAAATAACAAAGCGTCACAAAGGAGCTGCTTTATCCAAGCCATTTTGACAGTTGACATTATAATAAATAATTTAGTCGATTTTAGTATTGCGTAGTGTAGTTAATTTTTTTTTTAAATTCGTTTTTCGAAGTGTTCCTAATTATTGCCAAAGCTTGTGCTAGCGCTATTTTTTTTCTTAATATATTAGTTATAGTATACGACTTTGTGTATTTGTCTCTGTCCTGCTCCTAATTTTGGGCTTATAGGGCGGCAAAGCTTTAGGACCATATTACCCTCACGTACCTTATATGGGCAGCAAAGAACTTATGATCAAATAGTATATAGCATTTAACAGATTATGACTATATTAAGATTTTTTTTATATACTTTACCTTGGATATGTAGTATAACGGTGTGGTTGATACAACCCAATTCATTGCAGACAAGGCATGTATAATTTCCATTGTCGGCTTTCGTCAGCTCATCAAGTGTCATCGACCATTTACCGTAAGATGGTTGGAAGTACGTTCTCGTTATAGGCGTGCCATTATTTTTAAACCACGTGATATTTGGCGTTGGGTTTCCTGTAAATATCCGACGAATTCGTTAATCATAATATAAATGGCTTAACGGTAATGTTTTTGAAGTTCATCGTTTGAAAATGGTAGTGTAATATAACTGCCCGTATACGCTCCAATGCCGGACACAGGCTTCCCCGAATTAGTGGGAGGTTTTTGAAATAGGGATGAATTTGTAGTGCGTGTTAGCTATTTAACATCAAGTCGGAAGATTTGCTGATAAACTACTAAATAATCGTTGCAATCAACTTCACTGTCACGGGGAGAGTCGACGTATACACGGTGATTCAGTTTTAATGCAATGTACGGATACGCCCTAGATCCAGCAAAGTTGTGGTGGCTATGATTGACTACATTTTAACTTAATAATTCTGAATGAAGGATCTATTTATTATAAAAAGAATCACTATATAATAATACTAATATTTAAATTGTTATATATTAATGTTACTTTAGATAAGAATAAAATTTAAAATCTTACCATCAGCAGCACATTTTAATCTTATGGAGCTACCAGCGGGTTTCATGTCCATATTAAACATTTTTGAAGGATGTTTAAATTTAGGAGCATATTTTGTTTTAGTGTCATCAACGTGGCCGTAATTCGGATGTTCCTTTTCACTTTTGTCGTCAATATCTTCGTCCTTTATATCATATTCCCTGTATTTCATGCTTTTTGTTAATCTTTTTACATCCGTCGCAATTTTGTCTTCTAATGTATTGTTCTCCAATATAGGAGCAGCTTGATGCTGCGATAATATTTCTGGCATCGGCCGCTGTACGTCGATATCCGATTGGTATTCTGTAAAATAAAATTTGAATATCTCACATAAATTACATAAAAATCTTTGCATTAAGTACTAATAATCCATGAAAAATGAAAGTTAGAGATGTTTAAATGACTAAAGATCCAAAACAAGAATTTCTCGAAAAAGATTTCGTACAGGAAGTTAATTTCATAAATGAGTATAAAATTAGGTGCTTTTGGATCAAGAAGAATATATCAATTGAAAATATCAGACAGGCGCGTGCAATAACATGCAGCGTCGTTTTAACGTTGGCACCAGAATGCAGTACAGACTTGCTTGACTTGATTTGTTTACACATCTGGACGGTCAATAAAGATACCGATTAAAATAATAACAAAATATGAAAATAACAGCATCGTTTTGATATCGAGTTCAGAATTAGCTTTAAAAATATTTAAGTATTCAACAAGACCCTGGCAACTAAACGTAATTCGTAGACGTTATATCTTATATTCTATAAAAAGTCATCGTCTTACCTTCTAAATTGTCTTGTTCCACATCTGGCTTGTGCTTTATAGTAACACGCATTTCCTTTCCTTTATCTTCATCGTTATGACAAGTATATACTCCCGCATCCTTCGCTCGGAATCCTTTTATTCTGAGCCTGAAATATATTGGATTATTTGTGAAACTCCTTCTGTATATCATTTATACGTATTAAAATAACATAATGATTTCTTAAATTCCTATAATCAATAAAATTAAAACGTAATCCAAGCATACAACTGCAAGACTTCAAGATATAGGAACAAAAGTTAATAATTTTAATCAAGTTGAACATCTCAGTCTCCCCCGTGAACATGGGTGCTGTAAAGTACTCGAAACATCGGGTATTTAAAAAGTTAAATATACGGGATAAAATCCGTAAAAACTAGTATTATTTAAATTAAGATAACATTTTCACATTTCCTAAGACAAAAAATTAAAAAAATATTTACAGTGACGAGTATGATTTTAAAAATAAAATATTTTACATTTTATAGAGTACAACATAAGTTAACGTGCCATACAGAGTATATCTATAGAAAGAAATGTATACATTAGCATGGTTACCGTATTTGTGAAGCTACTAGCGTTACATTTGAGGTTACATTAGATCCTAAGGCATGATGTGAATACAAAATTTCACCAAGTGTATTTATGATTCTACTTGTTGTGTAAAGAAAGACATCAGATAGTAAGGCTAAATTCACTGTTGTTCATTTTAATATACCAAACAAAACAAAACAAAATTAATGTCCATGGCGCTAAACACTTTTAATAAGCGATACTGTTTCCCGCCACCTGCCTGAATCTAGAGTTTAGCGTATTTGAAATTGTAGTGCTCGCGATCGCAAATAATACTTACAGAATTACTGAATTTTGCTATTCATCGATAAATTTGAATAAATATTAAAATATTATAAATAATGTTATCGGGTGCGAATACAAGAAGTTTAAATTCCACAGTGCTTACTCTAAAAGCTTCGATCGATGGGCAAGCTTCACCGCTCACCGTTAAAGCTCGTTGGTGGATCATCATAAAACCGTGGTTTTGTGAACCGAAGAGCTGCCTAGCACTTCCGCCGCGGCTCGTCAGAATTGAAATATAGAACATTGTTCCAACCAAAGAGATTTAAATATATAAACATACTTAAATGTCTTTGGTTCCAATAAACTCTATACAATAACTGATTGGTTCGACAGTGTATCAGGAACGACGAAAAGCGAACGAATAGCTAAGATGACAAACAATTTAAATTTATATAGATAAATAAATCAGAAATCTGATTATTCAAATTGGCTTTATTTAGCAGTTTACATTAATTATTCAAAATCGTGCATCACTATAGTCTGACGCAATCTACGTGTGTATTAGTGTCTTCATATTATCGTGATCTTTGTCTTTATCAATTTAACAACACTGTTAATGTAATAAACTTCTCATATTAATTTATCCTTTTTATTTTTTTATGCCAATAATTTTGTACGGAAATTTCACGATACAAAATAATAATTATTTTATGAAACAAAGCTAGATGCGTTGTGCACTAGTCTCTAGTAGTGTTAACTATTCACGAGGCCTAGAATAGCTACGTTAACCCTTAATCTAAGATCAGCGTATAACCTGATTGATTTGATACATTGTTTTGATTGACAGCATGCTTTATTTGCGTCAAATAGAAACGTAGCATTGCGGCATGGCGCATAGCATGAGTTATTGCTTTTATTTCCATCGCCTCGGATTCTGAATACGTAAGTACTGATTCAAGCTTTCTCGAGATTAACTTGATTTACATTGTTATTTGTGTCTTACAAATTTTCTTTTATAAAATGTACGACGCTGGTAAAGGAATTAATACATGAAGTCTTTTTGGTGTTTTATTACACAAATTTCTTTGTTTTTGGTGAATGTTATTTGTGGAATAGATATTAGAAAATATATTATAACATAATAATAATAAATTAGAATCGTCACCATTAAGAACAGATCTAATGTTAGAATGCATGTATGTAATTTATTTTTAAGAAATCTAATGTACGCTCAACAACCTGTTTGCCCAGCATGATGAATATGGGTAAGTCTTTCAGCGTTCGCCTTTTTATTCACAAATTATTTAATAGAGGCTGGAAAAGAAGAAGAACAAATGTCTATACAGTCTACTACACTTTACTTACCACTGTCTTTGCTGGACTATTCGCGGTTTTCCTTGACTTTCCAAAGGTTTTCCATCAAAGTGCCACCGGACAGCTTGCGTTTGGCTTCTTGCCCTTAACCCACAGACTAGACGCAGTCTTTCGTTAGTTGAGGCTTCTATCACCGTATATGTGTCATCTACAACAATTGATATAGAAATTTTAATATATTTTAGGAGAACAATAAAGAAGTGCTGAAAATTAATAAAAAGACTTACTGTCTAGAAAGAAAACAGAATTACAGAAAGAAAGACAAAGTGAAAAAAGGAGAGACTGAAAAGAATAAATTGATTATTCTTTTCTGTCTCATCTATATTTGAAAAGAAAAACTTTTCAAAAATAGATTTTTTCATAAAAGACAAAAAGTAGAATCAACAAAGAGAGACTCAAAAGGGAATTGTTCAAATCTGAATGATTATATTGTCACAGAAAAGAAAGATACATTGAGATATTACTAATTGTAACCGATTAAAATAGTTTTATCAAAACTTCCAAAATCTAATTCACGATTAAGTCTTGTTATATTTATTGTTCCAAAACTACACTACACTACATCCCTTTACAAGGACATTACTGAACATAGGCCTCCCCAAAAGAATGCCACAATGCCCGATTCTTCACCTGCATCCATCGACTTCGTGCATGTCTTACTAGGCCATATCTCTATTTAGTAGATTGATGCCCTAAGCTTCGTTTACCGGTACGAGGCTGCCCCCTGAGAGCCTTTCTTCCACATCGGTTGTCGGTTCTTCGAGGTATATGGCCGACCGATTGCATCTTCAGCTTACTAATCAGTTGGGCTATGTCAACTACTTTGGTTTTCATGCGGATATCCTCATTTTTAAGTCTATCACACAGAGAAACCCAGATTATAGGCTTCCCCATAGCTCGCTGGGCGACCTTGAGCTTTCTCATACTATATATACTATATAATACTACTACTACTAGCAGTTAAGGATCGCGTCTCAGATCCATAAGTCATCACTGGCAACACGCACTAGTTATTAGTTATACAATCTTGAAAATTGGATATTTCGTATAGTTTTTTTTTTTGTCTTTTATGACATTTAGTTATCCTTGATGCCATGACACATAAAATATATCGTATTGAGTATAGTAATAAATCGTTTTAACATGACATACTACACGGCTCTAAGCTTGGATAAAAAATAAAAAACTAAGCAACAATGACGAATTGCAGCACCGTATAATTAAAATTTATTACAATATAAACTGTTCATGTTATGTTTGTAAATAGGTACTTATTTAGACATCTGATCGCGCTAATGATGTAATGCAAGCATGGGGTTTTGATACTGGATAAGACGAACACTACATACTACGTGGTGATGCTTTTTACTCCATGACAAGGGTCAAATCAACCTGAGAGGATCCTTCTTTCACGCTAACGTGTTATACGTCAAAATAGCAAAATAACGCATGCTGCTGTATTTCGTGGTCACACGTTGAGAGTCTAAACCTATCTATTCGTTACCATTCTTGCGTGCTGACTGCCTCTTTGGTCTAGTGATTGTAGACGCGACTGCTGATCATGAGGTCCCGGGTTCGAATCCCGCGTCGGACCAAAAAAACAGTAATAGAGTTTTTCCGTTAAGTAATTCTCAGTTGCTGCCCGGAGTCAGAAAGTTGGCGGTGTCTCACACCCGTGCCTCGGAAAGCATGAAAGCCGTATGTCCTGCGTCAGGGTGACATATATATTGTGTGACTGGAACCGGAGACCCTTTTTTACTGTCAATGAGGTATATATCGAGGGACCTTGTCCGCAGGTTGATTTTTAATCCAGGAAATTAGGTATTCTTGTGCCATAGTTTCCACTTACCATCAGGTGATACGTGTACATAACGTTTTGTTACCGTTACTTGTAAAAAAAGTGTATAAGTTTTCCAAACACCAATATTTTATTATAATTAGTTATTTTATTATAATATAACATATATATATATATATATATATATATATATATATATATATATATATATATATATATATATATATATATATAGTATATATATAGTTGCTAAATATATATTTAGATATGCATCTGACAAAATTTATCTTTAACACCCAGGGTTACGTGGTAGTGGTAGGTGGTTTGATATGTGGTAGAGCCACGCTGCAGCTATATTATGGATGTATCACGAATGGGTCGGCTCGACCGGGGAAGGTCCACGCTCTCACAGAATATTAGCGTAAAATAACAGCTTAATACTGCTGTGATTCGTATGTTAAGTGTAGAGATCCGGAGACCCTTTTTTACTGGGAACGAGGCATTCAGACAGAGTTGCGATTCTTAATCGAGGATAAATGTAGATGTCTATGGGCTACAGCATTCACTTACCATCAGGTTAAGAACCAAAACTCAGATGCGTTGTCACCCCTGAGGACTAAGGTGTAATGTCTCGTTTCCAGTAAAAAAGGGTGTCCGGATTTCTACACTCACCATACGAAACAGTAGTAAGCAGTATTGAGCTGCTATTTTACGCTGGCATTATGTGAGATCGTGGTCGTACCCCGGTCGAGCTAACCCATTCGTGCTGCAACTATAATATAGCAGCAGCGACCCTTTACCACGTATAATACTCGAATGAAAGTTGGTTATTTCAAAATTACATATAGAAATTTCAATTTTATTTATGTGAATAGGTATAACATTGCACATCATATCATATGTATGGATAAGTGTGTGTATAATCAAGATATAGCATAACGTGCGAAGTTACATTAGAAATACCTGAGGTTAGCTAGATCTAAAGTACACCCGGTAACATTTGCTCAGGGAAACATATCTGGTAGGCGCTGAAAATAGCAAGATGCGTTTGTAACGGTACACCTGAACGTAATAAATTGCTCTCACTGTATTTATTACGTTCACCTTCTGTAACACGTTCACGCCTCTCAATACATTTGCAACAGCTACTTAGTGTCTGTGATGTTGACATTTACATAGAAAACTCGACCGCGTGGCTTATTGGTCAGAGTACCTGTCCTGGTTCTGAGTTCGAATCCCAATATGGACCGATTATACTCACAAACTAACTACTAACTAACACTAAAACACAAATTATTCGATTTCGGTTCAGTCGCTACTACTTGCACAGTACAGCTGAAGTCAGGGAGAAGTAAATCATCCCCACCACCGTGACTTTGAGACGAGGATAACGCCCGTCTCCTTGAACCCTAAGGCTTTTTTAATGTGAATGTAAATGTTCTTTCATACCTTTTGATATGGAGACTACGGAAAGGTTATCCCGGACTTCGAACGGCTAAATCGTTATATCTTCTACACTGTTTGATCACCACCACTATCAGTATTAAAAAGTAAAAATTGTATTATAGTACGTTTCTAGGGCAGGCGGAAAAAAGTACATTGACCTTTGACGATATCATCGGGGTAGGCAATCTTTTTTGTTTATGTTCCTTTTTTATCCTTTTATCATTACATACTTCATCGGAGTGAAAGATAAGGGTGCCGAGTACGAAGTTCTTTACAGGCCCTATGTCTATTATTATATTATAAAGAAAGAAGATTATCCTGTACCTAAATGAATATTAAAAGCAAATTAATATTAATTTAAATTTATTATTTATAAATCATGAGCTATTACAATTTTCATTATTACGTTAATAGTAGGTAAGTACTTTGATAAGTAGGTAGGTACGTAGTTGTATAAAACATATCCACTTCTTGGCAGTCAGGTAAAAAGACGAACTTTTAATGCTAAGCATTCTTAAGCAGCCAACCTTTAAGCATGCATAAAATGTCTCATAATAGATTGTTAGAGACACAGATTCATCTGTATCTATTTCAGAATCATTTTATGACGATGAAGACGTAGAAGAGTTCGTCACATTGATTATAGCCTAAAATATCGGCAGTCTTTTTCATATCCGTTTTGGATGGATATACGTCACTAGACCACGTTTATTTTACATGTTTATAGATGTTTACAATCATTATTTCTTCGGTTTCGGAAATATGCGACACTTTCCGCTTCTTTCGTGGTGACGTAGTCTTTATGAAATTTTCATGTCGATGGATCCGATTTCATACTAGTGATAATATACAAAACGTCACAAAACAATAACTTTAATACAAAACGTAATAGTACAACTAACAAAACAAACTTAATAAAAATTAAAACAACTACTATAATCCAAAATTTTAAATCTCAAACTACTACACGCAAGCGCATCCCAAAGAAGAATGAGGAATTAGTTCTGCTCCATTCGCTTTCTCAAGTACGCACTGCTTGAGTACATTCCGCTCCTTTCGTGGTGACGTAAAGTCTTTATGAGATTTTCATGTCGATGGACCCGATTTCATACTAGTGATAATGCAAAACGTCACAAAACAGTAACAAAAACTTTAATAAAAAACCTAATAATACAACTAACAAAACAAACTTAATAAAAATTAAAACAACTACTATAACCGAAAATTTTTAATCTCACACTATCTACCCGCAAGCGCATCCCAAAGCAGAATGTGGAATGAGTTCTGCTCCATCCGTTTTCTCAAATACGCACAGCGTGAGATGCTGTTCGTATCGCAAATCGCGTCGTAACAGGTTTATTATCTCTGAATGAGCGCTACCTTCACCCTAACCCGTACCATGAGACACGCTTAGCGCATAACGATACGTAATTTATAAAGAAATGTATGGAAGCAATAACAGCTGTCGTTTTGTTTCGATGCTAACATAATACTTGAGGTCAATGTACTTTTTTCCGCCTGCCTTAGAAACGTACTATAGGAGATGATTTGTTTTAGCTTCGTTTTTTAGTTGATTAGGCAAATTTTTTTTTTTTTACCAGATTTTAGGTGGCAATCAATAGGGTGTGGTGAACGAATTAGAAGTCTATGACAATGATATTTTACAATATTTTTTTACATTAACATATTACGAAATTGATCTATCAATAAATACTACTAAATTAAAATAAATTTCGGTACTAAAAAAATAAAAATAAAAATTTTGAACTAAACAAATAAATCAATTAAAAATTATCGAAATTAAAATAATAAGCACCACCACACACCTTTTTTTTACAGACATTAAAAAAATCATCTAGTATATTACCTATAGTACGTTTCTAGGGCAGGCGGAAAAAAGTACA